GGAAGAAACATCTGGGCAAATGACCTTACTGCTTCTCTCTGTGTCTTGACTGATCTTGAAGCTGTTGTGGGCAAAGGTATTCATTTTTTCTTGCATTATTTGACATATGGTGGTGAATCTTGCAATTTACATATTCTGACAGGGAGGTTAATTTTTTTATGTGCAGACAAACTTGTGGTGTCCACTTCCTGCTCACTTCTCCACACAGCTGTTGATCTTGTTAATGAGACCAAGCTCGACCAGGAGATCAAATCCTGGCTTGCATTTGCTGCCCAGAAAGTTGTTGAAGTGAATGCATTGGCCAAGGCATTGGCTGGTCAGAAGGATAAGGTATCTATTTCACTTGAAAATATCGTTAGCATGATGGCAATCTGTTAAGGTTCAAATCATTTTTCTTATGGCTTTTGTAGTCTATTGAAGTAGCATATGTTCATGCTAATTAATTGAACAATATTTCAACCAGCCACCTCAAGATGGCACATTTAAGTTAGAGTGCATGCTGGTCGAATGACATTAACTAGGGTTTTGTTTCTTTCTTTTCTGTCTTCTTATAATTCTGATGATGCTGTGGTATTGAATGTTTGTTTCTCCATTTTTAGGCATTCTTCTCTGCCAATGCTGCTGCTCAGGCATCAAGGAAGTCCTCCCTGAGGGTTACCAATGAGGGTGTGCAGAACGCTGTGAGTGTTTTCATCCATTAAAATTCTACTTTATGCCCCTCAGGGACTGCTCTATTGAATTCATTTTTATGCTGACGATTGACTATTGTACTTCCTTTGCAGGCTGCTGCTTTGAAGGGCTCTGACCACCGTCGTGCAGCCACTGTTAGTGCTAGGCTGGATGCTCAACAGAAGAAGCTTAACCTTCCAGTCCTCCCCACCACTACCATTGGATCCTTCCCTCAGACCTTGGAACTTAGGAGACTTCGTTGTGAATACAAGACTAACAAGTGAACCTTGATTTTTTTTATGTCTCCTTTTTTCATCCCAATATGACCATTATGCTAATCAGTCTTTTTGTATTGTCCTTGTTAGGATCTCTGAGGATGATTATGTTAAAGCCATCAAGGAGGAAATCAGAAAGGTTGTTGAACTCCAAGAAGAGCTTGATATTGATGTCCTGGTTCATGGTGAGCCAGAGGTTAGTATTGCTCTTCCTTTTAGCCCTTAGAAGAATAATATTTTGAGTTTATTTTATTTTAC